ATTATTTAGCATATATAGGCCTATTGTAAAGTTTAAATTAAATCGTTATGACAGTAATGTAGTTTCATATCTACTTACTTTGTATTGATATCAACAACATTCTTTTACATTTCACACAGTTTGAGTGACGTCTGCGTGGGTTTGCCTTTTATCCGCAAATCAACCGAACTCCAGAACTCCGTAGACGACCGTACCACCGCCGTTTACCAGACAGAAACCTTCTTCACAGAGGCCACATCGTCGATCTCCACCTGGCAATTCTCCATCGTCCTCTTCCTCGGCATCAACTTCGCTAGTTTCCTCATCATCCTCTTCACCTACATCGCCATCTTCATCAAGGTCCGCTACTCCCGTGTCGAAGTCGGCAAGACGAACCAGACGTCGAACGACATCAAGATGGCTATTCGGATGTTCCTCATCGTCGGTACCGACTTCTGTTGCTGGATGCCCATCATCATCCTCGGCGTCCTAGTCCAGACGGTCGGGATCTCCGTCACACCCAACATCTATGCCTGGCTTGTCGTCTTCGTTCTCCCCATCAACTCCTCTCTCAACCCCTATCTCTATACCATCGTTCATTTTCTACTAACGTCATCAAAATAATGTGGGGCGTCTCTCGCTAACATTCTTTAGGGAAATGAGGTTCAAACTTTTAAAGACCGTCAATACTACTGGGCCAGAAGGGATTAGACCACACAGCGAGGTCACTGACAGGTGGCTATCTCATTTACTCAGCTCTCAACTAACATAAGAAAAAGAGGATCATGGGGGATCAACAGGCACCGATTGGGGGAAGTTTTCTATATAGAGGGAGCAAGTAGCTACAAGTAGGACAGTGGGGCTTTAAGGAAATGAGGTTCAAACTTTTAACTTAGGCCTAGATATTCTTTGTATTTCGATTAAATTAGATTTCAATTATTATAGGTGGTCTGCATTGGGTGTCTCCGTGCAAGGCTTTATTGTACAGGATCATAGGATTGGTTTCTTCCCGTGATGAATATTTTGTTGTCACTTTTCAAAGAAATTTAATTTTTCCTTTGTTCACCTCTGCCTTGAATCTATTATTATTAGTATAACTATGATATCAATTATTATTAGTAGTAGTATTATTATTATAACTATGATATCAATTATTATTAGTAGTATTATTATTGTTATAACTATGATATAAATTATTATTAGTAGTTTTATTATCAGTTATTATCACTATCATTATTGTCATTATTGTTTTCTATTATTTTTGTTATTATTATTATAACTATGATATAAACTATTAGTAGTAGTTTTATTATCATTGTTATTATCACTATCATTATCAGCATTTGTGTTTCTATTATTTTTGTTTTTAGTATTATTAATATCATTATTATTATTATTATTATTATTATTATTATTATTATTTATTATTATTATTAGTAGTAGTAGTAGTAGTAGTAGTAGTAGTAGCAGTAGTAGTAATAGTAGTAGCAGTAGTAGTAGTAGTAGTAGTAGGAGTAGTAGTAGTAGTAGTAGTAGTAGTAGTAGTAGTAGTAGTAGTATCGTTATTAGTATTATCTTTATTGTTATCATTATTATTATTATTATCATCATCATTATTACAAATTGAATTATTGTTATTATTATAATAATAATAATAATAATAGCTCACATTTATAATGCGCCTAATACTTTTGTTTCTAGACGCGGAACATATTATTATCATCATCATCATCATCGCCATCATCATTTTCCTGTGAAATTTTACTCATTTCATTTTGAAAAAATAGTTTAGCATTGCGATGTATGTTATGTAGTTTTAATTGGTTCACCCACTCATACAATTACATGCACATCTATAGTAGGTTACCTAAAGCCGTTACACTTCAACGAGTTTTGTGACATATAAATTGTGTTTGTACATGTTTGTGTAGTTTTAAATGAATTCAAAACTAACAAAAAGTTCATTTAGAAGGAAACAAAATAAGATCATCAACTTCAAAAACTTGTACTAAGTATTTCACTTGCTATGTGTAAAACCATTAAAAAAAATGTACTGTGTATTTTTTAAATATCTATTTGACGTGTCAAGTACAGACATTTTAGGCTACAAGGCTTTTAAAATGTTCACTAAAAATAATGTTGAAATTCCTACTGTTGTATACATTCATATTAAAAATGTTGGTATTCCTTTGCGCCAAATCTGATTTAAAATAGCATCGTGCATGTTATATATTTGGTCACGACAATTCACCAATTTGATAAGAGTGATTTAAAAAAATATAACTTTGTAATTAAAAAAAAAAAAGATTCTGTCAATTCAAAGAGGAAACTTTCAGAAGGACTTTTAAACAAAACCAATTCGTAAATTCTAGTTCATTTGAATTGATATTGTTGACAGAATATTCTTTGATCTGCACAGTATTTTTTCAGTGCTTTAAAGTGCTCTCACTGTCTTAATAAATAATATCTAGAAAACACGATAAGTTGCAATTTTGTTGATCCACAAAAGAGTAATTTTCAATGATTTTAACAAGAATGGAACATCATACTTTTATGAGAATTGCATGTAATTTCGTGCGGAAATGTGTTAAAGACATTTACAAAAGGTTTCCCTTTTTATTCGGTAATAAAGATTGTTTGGTATCACATAACTTATGATTTGTTCTATTGAAGAATATTGTTTTAGTTATGGATGGTGTGATGTTGTCGGTTTTGTCGTGGTCTCCATGATAACGATCGATTTGAAGTAGTTGATGGTTTGATGGTTTGTTTTACCTGACCGATAATAAAGCACGAGTATTCAATGCTGGTAAGTAAGTAACTAGGGGACCGGCAGCTTTAAGTCCTCTCCGACGGACTAGGTAATGAGGAGTAATGCCTTACCAAAGGGCACTATAGCACATTGATTTGGTTTCGAACCCGGGATTTTCCGGTGTATAGGAGCCCGCATCACTATCTCTAAGCCATTGTTTCTTAATTCTTGTGTCAAATTAATGGGATATAATAGTGTTGATGAAGACTTTGATGTTTGACAATTCGAAATCAGGAATGTCGGTAAGGGAGTTCATGGGAAGGAAATTTATCATCAAAATATGTGGACAAACCGTCAACACCCCCTGTCCTAGCTAGCGACACTTAAAAAAATGACGTCGTCCCTTTTTCGATGGCGACCCTAACTCATGAATTCGAACCAGGTTTTCAAGGGATGATGTCGGTACTTATGATATCATTGTACTGCAACCTATTACAAAATACAGATCCCTTTCCCTATACAGGGGTGGATCTAGGGGGTTCGGCGGTTTAACACCCCCCCCCTCCTTTAGCGGCCAAGTGAGAAAAAAAAGGGGGGGGGCAAGAAAAAAGAAGAAAAAAAAGAAAGACAGAAAAGTAAGTAAAACAGTAAAACGGCGCGATTTGGGGGGAAATCCTGGATACGTTCGCCACTGGGTATACCCACCCCCCCCCCCCTTGGCAAAAAGCTAGATCCGCCCCTGAGTATAGGAGTTTAATCGTGATGTGCTGCAACATAGAACACGAACTTAAAAATCAGAGAAATAAGAACTATTTAACATTGTGATATACATATTGGACAACATAATACATGTACATACAGATATTATAGTTGAAAAGTAAAACATTTAACACAGTAATTGCAACTTGAAGGTAGAAGGTATGTAAAACTGTAAAGTTTGAATACAAAAACGCGATCCTAGTACATTAACACCTTGATGAAGATAGAGAACTGTGAATAAAATACCTCATCTAAGAAAATTCGCACCTGGCAGAGGTTCGAACCCCTACTTGTTGATATGAGAGTCAGGTGAATACTATACCACGGTGCTCACACGTCATCATCATTATCATCAAAGTAACTCGGTGATTATGACGTAATGAACGGTAAAGGAAATGTATGTGGACCCCGGCCTCCCACCTTTATCCTTCACCCTCTCCATATTCATAGTCTTTCTATTTAGGTATTTCTATCTCTATTTTAGTCATCCCTTTTCTCCATCCATCTATCCTGAATAAATATTGATTTTTCTTTTTTGGTGAACTCTCAACCCCTCTTTTAGAATAAAATTATCAACAAAAAATATTAAAGCTCTGTGGCAAATTTGCTCTCACTTAATCAAAATAATTGAATGACATCAGTAGCTTATAATTATCTTGTCATTGACAACACGTTTTGTGAAATGGCCCAGATTCGTTTATCGCCTTGAACTTGTTATGATGGAATGCGTGACAACTAGGCCCAGGTCATAGATGTCACCTTTTATGAAAATGCTCCACACATCAGATTTTTGTGATTTCCCTTTAAGTTGCAATAAAATATTAAAGGATAGGCCTATATATTCCTTTCATGCCTAAACATTGCGAACGGAATAAAAATGATCAAAGGACGATGCAGCGACACAGTGTCCTTTTACTAAAGACCAATGCTAATTATGATCAGCCCATCTAATTTTTTTTTAAAGGTAGACCTTGTCCTATAGAAATTGCAACTCCATTTTTGTTAGTACCTGTAAAAACGCTCATCATTATGCTGTCTTACGATAGAGACGACTACAAAATGACCTAGGTTCAAACTTCTGCTTGAAAGTTGTAGCACAGTTCTCAAAAACAAAATATTATTTCTAATAACATCTTTCAAATACGTTTCACATTGTCATTTGAATAGCTGTAGGCCTATGATTGTATTAATTCAGCTGTCAAAACATTTTTAAGCAGTCAGCTTTCAAAAGTGTAGGGCGAGGATGTGACTTAAAATAATGTATATACTTTTTGTTTACAATTAATAATCCTTATCACTTCAGTTGCAACCGTCTATTTTTGGTAAGGTATAATAATTATACTCTCTGCAAAATGAAGTGTACTCCACCCTTTTTGTTGACCTTCTTTCTTTTCGGGTAGGTAACTCCCCGCAAGAATTATGGCGTACAAAAGAAAAACCGAATCTTCGACTTTGAACAATACTGCTTACACGCACGTAGAAATGTCGTCTGGTAGTACCGGGACGTCATTGCACGCATTGGTGAACTTTGTATATCAACCATCCGCATTTCCGTGTATATTTTTTTACCGCACGAAAATGTATACCTGTTGAGAAGCGTATTGTATTGACAAACTCTATCTCACAGTCCCATTGATAGACATTTGTGATAGTTTGACGCTATCGGGACATTGCATTATAACCGTGTGCCTAAAGTCGGCTTGATATTTTGATGACGATGCTTGTTAAATGTGATTTCATGGACTTGATCATGCATTATGTCGTTTAAAAGTCGGTGTTCGTCGACACTGCAGTGAGTTTGGTGCAGGCGCCAACACCAATCGACAGTGATCGAAGAGGAAACTCTTGAAACTGCTGCCTCACGCCCAAACATTCAACAAAAGGCCGGTGGTTTATAAACAAAATATTGTTCTCATACACTTCTGTAAGGTAAGTTTCATCAGAAGAAGTTCCACTTCTTCTTCTTTGAGTTAATCTCCTTCACAGTTGAAGATTCTTGCAGACTGATGAGTGTGTGTGTGTGCTTAATAAAGCCAGGTCAGAAGTTACTTAAATTGTCTAACATTAGGGGTGTGAATAGTTACTCAGTCTTTGATGTTATAGTTCAATGAATTAACTATAAACCATAACAGCCTATATTATGTGTATAATGCAAATTTTAAAACGTACCAATAATTTTAACTTTGTTGATATACAATGTCTGTAAAATAGCTGTCTACAAATAAAAGGTTATCGATTGGGTCTACGTATTGATAAATTGGTAGGACTTTCTAAAATAAGAGCTATGTATAGGCTGTAGCGAGTTACTGTGGTTAAACAAATAAATGAAATGAAACGGTTTTGCTGGCAATATATATATATATATATATATATATCTTGTTCATGGGCAGTCGAATTAAATCTACATAACTCTATAGGCCTATAGTTCATGTAGTACGTTACTATTTTCTTAATGATTTAAATTAGTTATAGGCTACTAGTTTATGTCAGTTCCATGGAACTGTATTACGAATATGCTATTGAGTGATTGAATCTTAAGTCAGCAAAGCTCCGAGCTTACGTTGAACCGTTTCCAAGCAGTGAAGCCTTATTCACACAGCGTACCAAAAGACGGCATTTGTATAAAACATACTGAAATAAAGATATGAGTTGTAATCATAGTTATCATGTAAGCATAGATTTGTAAATCAATAATGATAAATCAAAATCAATTTTAGCAACTGTCCAGCATAGATTACTACACCCAAAAGCTTTCTATGGGAATGTTTGTAGATCTTGTATTCTTAATTACTGTCTGAAAAACCTAGGCCTAGTTTATGTTTGAATTTGCATCTTGTCATGCACCACCTACCCACAAATGGTATTACAATGGAGTTCCTTTTCTATATTGAATTTTGAGGGGGCATTGCCCTATGATTTTCTGGATTAAATATCAATATATTTAGTATGCGTGAGAGACTAAGGTAGTTATGGTTGATAAATATATTTTAATGACGTACACGCCTAAAACTAAAACAACAACAACAACATAATAATAATATACGAAGAATTATGAACATGAAGCCTGTGTTAATGATGGTGTTTTGCACTAAAAGCGTCCAAAAATAGACATTTTATCTTCCTGTCTTATGGCACTCTAGTTTTAATTTCGTTTCATCTTTTGTTGATGATGGGATGCTAATGACCAATCGATCGTTCGTGTGACCAGTTAGAGAATAGTGATGGACGAAATGGCTTCGTCACTTAGATATCGTCGTCATCGTATAATCATCCATATACGTATTCCCCTGATTATTTCACGTTTCCCTTTGTTCATGTTTTTGCTTCAGTTTCAATATCAATTTCGATAACGATTTCATTTCGAGTTGAATTCATTGTTTTCTTCAAATACATTTTTTCCTTCTTCCTGTAGGCCTAATAATTTGATAATCAAGATGATAATAGGCCTACGCTGTTAAGCGTTTTATTCACTTATACTTGTCATTTTATACCATTATGTCTTTATTCTAGATTATTTCAACCTGAGTTCGTTTATTACACTCACTCACAAAACTGAAATGAACTACAGTAGAGACAAATTTCTCTTTTAGAAAGAAAAATATGCAATCTACATTATTTTGCAAACTTTCATTACGTAATGAAGATTTTCATTCAAGATTGATAACAGAAGTAGTACAGGTCTATACCATGTTTATAAGCACTTGATTTCACTAGTCACCACACAGGCCAACCGGGATAACCCTCTTAACTCTGACGTGGAAAAACGGGCATTTTTATGACCCTTTCTTTTGTTTGTTCTTCTCTCAGTTGTATTCAAAGAAAACCCTTTCGTCACAATTCCTATTGTTATTATTTTGAGGACAGTAACGCATAATAGAATAGTCACGGTCTATCTGCCCTTGAATAGTATTTGGAATATCCAAATATAGAACGACGTAATATGGTGCATTGATTGCAAGAGACACTGATATAATATATACCTTTCTGCCTCAAAATGATTCCCGCCACATTGAGGGAACTACATTGAATATAATAGTACATGATTCTATAGAACGACTTCAGTAACGAACGTCTTTGCTTGGCTCTAAATACCTTTTTGGTCTTCCTTCCTTCCTTTTTCCCTTTCCACTTGTATTCTCTGAAATATTTACTAATAAATCGAGAATTCAAGACACATCGGTGGTGGGGATTAATCAATTTATTATAGGAATACAATAATAAACACATCAATGTAATATGATATCTGTATATATTAATCAATTTGTTATAGGAATACAATAATGAACATATCTATGTAATGTGATATACGTACAGGCATTTATAAAAGAAACTATACATGACTTGGATAACAGCTGCACTGCTAAAGCCAGGGTAATTATGCTGCATTATTGTAGAGCGCTTAGAGACTTCTGACAAAGTAAGTGTTAGGCGCTATATAAGCACTGTAATTATTATTATAAGGTAAATCATATTACAAATGTAACATGTTAAAAGATGGTTGTTTTCGCAAAAAGATATAGACAAAAAGAAACATCAACTTTCGCTGCAAACAAGAAAAACAGAGAGAAGAAGAAAAAGAACGACAACAACAAAAACAATAACAACAACTAAGAGCACAATATAAGATAAACAGGGTCAGTTCGGGAGTCAATTATGGAAGTTAGATTGGTCCAGGTTTCAAGTTTTCACGACGTTTTGCTCGTACTTTCCTTGGCAAGACAAAAAAGCTTCATCAGTCAGACTGGTTCTAAGAAAAAGCAAGAGAAAGCAGGAGAAAGCAAAATGATGTGTTTCAATAATGATTAACAAGCTGGAGAAAAAAAATCATTAAAAATATATTTCGGAGAAATGAATTTTAAACAGTAAAAAAAACACACTTAAATTTAAAGTTAAGTGTTATTTTATCTAAACAGCTCCAGTGAAAATATAAGTGGTTGAGTCCATGTATTCTTTTGAGATAAATGAACATGAACAATATCAAAAAGTTGCAAGTTAAGAAGCCTTTCATTGAGATTGTTGATTGGCATGCCTCTTTAATCATGCACGATGCAATATGATCACGGTCTTATCATTGTCACAGAAGGCTGAAAATCTCAAAAATCCACTTCAACATCAATTTGTTGTATCGGATTATATAAAGGGAGGTTTCATGTTTCAGTAAGTGATTCGCTGTTGGAGAGCCTTTACGCCCGATTTGAATGCAAGCATTACAAAAACGACACCAATGAACTGTGGATACTTGAATAATTATTATAATTTATCTCTCAAGCAATATATTGCCTTGATAATGAGGGTAATTGACAAAATCATACAAGGGTAATGACAATACCAATAATGAGATGCAATATTATTCGTCTCGAGATGCGTGCTTCAGGAGCTAAGTAGTAATTTCAATTTAGAAGCTATAACGGAAATCAGTATACAGTAAATAATTGGGACAAATATACAGTGCATACAGTCTATGTGCACGGCGTTAGCATACAAGTATACAATGTGCATTCTGATTGAAATCATCATAACAATACACCTTAATAGATAGGGTATTAAGTTTGTAGAGAATTATATGTGCTAGAGTTCGCATGAATGATGTCACTAATGCAAATAACATGTCCCTTTTTGGGAAAAAAAGTGATTCGTCATTGTTTGTATTTGTCGGGTAAAGTCGGAGATATTCTATGAGGTATATATTTTGTATGTCGTATTGAAATAAATTATGTTAATTATCAAATCATTTGAGTATCTACAAGCAAACATACATTAATAAGAACTATGTGCCGACGGTAATGTAGCTCATTTGCCTGAGATTGTCTTCTCCCCCTTTTTTTTCTTAGACAAAATCAACTAAAGATTCTTTACTTCATTTATGTTCTTTTGAATTTGTCACATGTTTGTATTATAAACACCCCTTTATTTCTCATGCTCCCACCCCCTATCTCTCTCCTCTCCCTCTTACCTCCCAGCTCTATTCCGCCTCTTCCCCTCTCCTCTGTTCTCCTCTGTTCTCTCCTTATCATTCTATTTTAAGTAATGTCACTTTTTTTTTTTTTTTACCTCTTCTCTATTTTATGCATGCTTGCCTCTGTTGTCATGCCTCGTAGCTAGCCTTATCCCTTTTATTAAGTATTTCATTCCTTTTAAATTATCTTATCCCCTGTTTCTTACAATATCTGGCCATCATTTTGATTGTGTTGACACAATACCCGGATTCAAAGTTAATACCGGTACTTGAATTGTTTACCAGGGGATAAGATTTCCTCGTTTTCATTAATAGTTAAGTAAACGAGACCCTCCCTCAGACAGAGTTTGGATAATAGGAGGGTTACGTCTGTGAGAATATTTACTATTCTCTTCTCACAGTTTACACTCGTCATGTCGCAACGCCCCTTAAAAAATGCGTCTGAATAGTCCCGTTTACCTAACACAAACCGTAAGTTCACGAAGCAGTACACACGCTCTCAATCCAAAGAAGTTGGAAAAGGACTGGAAATCCATTTTGTTAGGAGTCGTGATAGGAATAACTTCGTTTGAGAGTTGAATGCACTCGAATCATAGTGGAACCCACTAAAAAGTAGTTGCTTGGCGGTGAATTACTCTCATGAGAGTGTATATTCCACTATATTTTAGAGAATGGATTTCACTTCAAAACGAAGCGAGTTTCGACTCCCGTCCATTTAGAGAGCATGTTTATACAAGACATCATTTTGTACTAATAAGGAATTTGATCCCTTTTAACGGCAATTATGGTGATCAATTTCATCAAAAGCTTTTTTCTGAGAAAAAACACACTTAAGGACACTTATGAAACGCTTATATTAGGACTGTAATAACCGCATGTAGTTCCCCGTACGCATTACCATTTGGCTTTACTTTGCTAGTTATATTAATTATATGACGTCATGAATTGAAGGCACGTGAATTTGATGAATACTACCATTAGACGCCAAAACATGTATTAATAGGGACTTTTAGATTGAGTGGACGAGAACGGAGTGCATGTCCACTGATCATGCGTGTCCATGGCAAGCCGTTATAACATTTATTCCTATTTCTTGATATCAAGAATTGGATTATTGATATCAAGAAATGATTTTCTATTGTGATGCAAATCATTTCTTGATATCAAGAAATTATTTTCTGATGTAAAGCAATGGTAATTCTTGATATCAAGAATTGAATTCTTAATATCAAGAAATAGGAATAAATGTTAGAACGGCTTGCCATAGACACGCATGATCAGTGGACGTTCCCGCCGTTCTCGTCCACTCAATCTAAAAAAACCTATTTCTGCTGTTAACCAATTTCTCAGGTTTGTGCGGGTCAATCTCATACAATCACGTTAATGCGTGTAGTATCAATACAACAATGGCCAATGTTATTAACAACATGATTTTAGACTTCAAAATTTAAACCAGAAAAATGTGTAATAATTTTGTTCACCAAAATATTTGCTGAATATGTGATGGGCATAACAAAGGTTTAGTTTTAATTCTTTTTACAATGTTAAAGAGTAGACATCTGAAACGGTATGGATATGCAATGTAGTCAGAGGTGGTATAGTAGTAGTGGTGGTGGTAGATATGATGACGGTGATGGTGGTAGCATGCAGTGCTAGAATTGTATATTAATGCATTTTTATATCTTTATGGAATATAGCTGTTCCAACGAAAACAAGTCACAATAATTATTGGGGAAATCATGACACGTGTCACATCGAATTAGTCGCTGACATCTCTATTTATCCTTGCAGACTTTACTCAAGATATCGAAGTCCACCGTTAATTATATGACGTATTAATCGGAAAGGTATATTGACTCTTCAATGAACACAAGTACCGGGCCCCTCTTATCAAAGAGTGCAACGCCAAATGGTATGAACAGGGAAATTCCCATCTCTGTTTCATGTCGCCTTTGACCCCTGTTGATATACATTGAAGAAAGAAAAACAATATAATTCATCGCATATTCCCCCCCCCTTTTTTTTTGGTGAAAAGTCATGATATGATTTTATTGTTATTTACTTTGCATTTTTACGAGATTTGTTACAATGATGAAAAGCAAAAATGTTGGTGTTTGCTGGATATATTTAATGATGTAGGCTTCCAGTAAACAATAGGGGGCAGGCTTTGATGCAGATTCTAGCATTGTTATCATTTTTCTATATTCACATTCGGGGGATTGCGTGAAGATACAGTCTTTTAAAGTATATTGATAAACATACGTTTGACTTAATCAATAACACTAAAGATTTAGCGTGCAAAAGCGCAATTCTCTACCATATATTTCTTCATTTTCAACTCCTGAATCACAAGCAATGTTGTCATAGGTTCAATGAGAAGGGTCTTGAACTTGTGGGAAATACCCGTAAAAACTTTAGGCATTCTGTGATCATCTAAAGGGCCTGATAACAATCTGAAAAAAGAGCTATACAGTTAAATAAATTACTCATACCTTACCAAGTTTTGTCATTTGTTAAGTATGTGAAAAATCGAATTACGTTTCTTGAGAATATGACATATTAAAGCTTACATCTAAATGAATTTAACAAAAGCCCTAATTCAACCAGTCCACCTTTCGTTCTTGAGTTACGTAAAACACACACACACACAAAAATCCCCCATCAAGTCTACAAGGGATGTGAAGCCACTGGGCTCGGAAATGTTATACTGCTCCTATTTTACGAAATATGGGAAAATATACATAATATCCTCCACTGTGTGGAGCACGACCTTTAAACATTCCTGGTTTCTATGTCAATAGGGTAGAATAATACAGCTAGCAAGGTCGACTATTCATCCAAAGCTGTCCTTACAATGTGCCAGAATCTAAAAGATTTATAAAAAAGCGATGGGTTTTCCCTAAAATTATATTTTTTCTCGACATGAAGTACAGTACACGCATACAATGTATACATGTTCTGTAAAAGTTAAGAATTCAAAGTTAGAAAGGAACTGTTTGGATCCAATTGAGAAAAGTTGATTATATACTAACTAATAATAAGTCTAAACCTTGATGTTTTGTAATCATCAAAATGATTTTAAAAAATTGACCCAATCCTGCGGAAAGCCACATGCACTTCACATAGAAATGTGTATATGGGACTACCCACCTATATGTGGTATGCAAATTTGGTAAAAATAATTTATTTCAGCTATTTATCGCTATATTTCAAAATTCCAGTGCAATCGGAAAGAGATCGTTTTTAGGGGACATTAATTGTCTCGTATGTTATTCCTCCAAACTAACATTGAAAAATAATAGATTCATAAGTTATTTTCACCTTTACAATGTTTACTAGAACTCAACGTTCTCTGGCCATCTATCATGCATGTCATACATATCTTTTGCAAACATTTGCATCGTTGTTTGAAGAGGTTTTATTTGTCCCTTGTGGTATTTAAACAGCTGGACAGGAATAAAAGCACACGAAATGATGGTGGATTTTCGATATCTGACGTTTTAGATAATTATAATTCTGCAGTAATTACAACTAGAGGTTAATTAAAAAAAAAAAATAATTTATGAGTTTTGAATGCCGTTTTTTACCGTTAGGTTTCATAATGTGGGGGTTTGATTTTGGGGAAGACATTCAGACATAGAAGAGGGAGAAAGAGAGAGAGAAAGAGAGAGAGAGAGAGTGAGGGGGAGAGGGAGGGAGAGAGAAAGAGATAGAGATAGGGAGATAGAAAGAGAGAGAGAGATAGGGAGGGAGAGAGAGAGAGAGAGAGAGAGAGAAAGAGACATTATTATATAGATAGAAAGAGAGAGAAAGAAACCCTTGGGAACAACCTGACTGATGTAAATTAATGTCATCATGAATCGATGCTCGTCGCTTTGAATATTACCGACGCGGACGAATGAATGAAAGAGTTAGCAAAGGCATATTGAAATACTGAACATATTTTTTTCAGGAAAAAAAAGTATGTTAAGAAAAATAATTTATTATAGTTACATACCATTTAGTATTGTTAATATTTTCCTTTATCATTTCAATCTCTTTCAGTTCTAAATTGGAATTCGGCAAGTGCTTCGAACTGAATAATTCCCAGGATTTCAAAGTTGCTGCTTGGAAAAGGGCGAATATTTCGTTAGAGGAGGATTTGTAAACTGTTGAATAGCAGGCTGTTCTTTCTGCTCGTACAGAGGCTCGGATTTTGATACTCTAGGATCGAAGAAACAGGAGTTTTGTGGTAACCATGCCTCGTGGAATCAATTTGGACGGTGCGGACGATCTTGCCGCACTGGACACACTCGATGAGGAGACTATGTTGGAGGCTATTTGTCGGCGGTATGAAAAGGACAGGATTTATGTGAGTATATAGAACAACAAAAAACGAAAACTTCTACAAATACTTGACTTTATTATTATCGTCACCGTTATCCTCATCGTTAATATTTCAAACTTATCGTCCTCATCACTACCATTATCATTACCACGAGCATCATCATTAAAGGTAATACAAAGTTTTGGTATGGGGTAATGAATTTGGTTCAAATGAACATATTGGAAGCATATGCAATGCTACAATATGCAGTGATCGTTTTCGCGGTTGAAATCGAGTCTAAAGTGATGAAATTGTAAATGATAAATTCTTTATGTTGCATAGCGCCCTCTCAAGGTCAAGATAGTGATTTAGCTATAAAACAATGTTATTTGACTAAAATCGACCAATTTGCTATTACCATTTGGAGTTATATCACAACTGCATATTCTGAGATTTTCATGGTCGCAGCTACCATCGTATGGCCGTAGGCGCTATTTGAAATTTATCAAAATTTACTGGGACCACCGGTAAATTTGTATATTCAATTGTTCTCGAAAGCGTTTTAGGGGCTAACATTTTAAGTGCTTATAATACATCCATAGGGGCATCCAAATATATCAAAATTGTAAAGAATCACTATCCAGCCAATTTTCAAAATTTACCAAAACTTTGTATTACCTTTAATATAACCACTATCCCAATCATCATCATCATCATCATCATCATCATCATTTCCATCATCTTTGTCATCATTGTCGGAAGACATAAATTCCTTTAAGATAATAGGAATGACTTTATTTAATTTGTAGACTGGTGTTTAGAATTGTTAGATGATCGACCTGATGACTTTCGATTATGTCTCTACGCCTTAGTAATGTAATTTAACGTTTAGATATTAATTTCCATAGTAATTGCTGAAAAAATTTAGGTAGTCATTATAATCACCATCGTCATCACAATCATCCACAACAACATCATCATCATCATCATTACAACAATTATCAACATAATCGTCATCATCACCTTCATCATTATCATCGTCACAATCGTCATCCTCCTCATCATCATGGTCACAACCACCAGTAATACTGTCATCATAATCATCACCACTATACCATCACTATCGACACCATTGCCAGGATAAGCGTTTTGCAGCTTATTGTGTACATTCATTATCAAAAGATGTGATATTTCATGAATGATAACATGTATATAATATTAACAGGAAATGTATTTATTTGCTTTAAAAATTATATAACAAGTTAATCAATTATATTGCGCCAATTTCTTGAAACCTTTGTAATTTTTTCATTTGTTCATGGCTATTTCCAATTTATAATAACTTCTAGATTTTGCCTGAACATTTTCCAAAGTTGAATTACTTGAAGTGGTAACTCCCACTCCAAGTAACAAATAAGTTTTGTGATACATGATGCATGAGACGTTGTTCTTTTCACCCACTGCAGACTTACATTGGTGATATTTTGGTAGCTGTAAACCCCTACAAGCCTGTGGGAATCTACTCGTATGAGGTATGGTATCAAAACATTAAAAAGAGTTTGTTTGAGGCATGGAGGCCATGTGTTAATTATATGAGTTTAATGCCCTTCTGGCTCCAAACAGACGAAATACTCTATGCCTAGTGAGATGAAAGTATAGGTTACTGAAATATAGTATTGATATATAAATATGTATATACATATATAACTACGGTAATTACATCGGTTTTTAAATGGTGTTACTTTGGACAGAAAAAGAGAAGATCAACAGTTCAACGCTACTGTTGAGACAATTTAGATTGGTGGCCGTAATTGAAGTTGTACCATATTCTTCATAGGCCTGATCAATGTAAAGGGTCAACATGACTCATGAAATTGACACTAATGCTTCTATTTCAGGTGAATATAATATATCAGTGATAAATTCATTATCTCACTAAGAGAAAGTTCACATACATTTTACAATTTTGCACAATCAGATCACGGGCCAATCATGTCTATTTATTTTCTCTTTTCTGGAGACCAAATTCGTGATAGTACTTGAACGTGTGATAATTTTTCGCAGTGACTATTGTCCAAACTGATTATCATGTAAAAACATATTTCAGAATAGGTGATTTCCAATTGTTAAAACTGCACGAAATAAATATATGTATAAAGAGATCAGCATGAGGCGAAGCAGGTTTAATCATGCCCCCTCCGATCTCCAAACTAAACGAATCTTTGAAAAAGAAAAGCATGATGTATTATGCAGGGCTTTCTTGAAATGCAGATCCACTGTTTTCCAGTGGAACTGAATAAAACTACCCTGTTGAAAGAAATCTTGTATAAATTAATAAATATAATAAATGATAGTCGATGCCTTCTAAATAATGTAAATTGTCTGTTCCGGGATATGTCCCTTGACTCCATTCGTCGGTGTACCCAGGTACTTTTCGCCTCTCCATGTTTATCAATTCAAGGATACGTCACCTTTCTTTATTTCTTCTTCCACTCCCTAGAAATCACTTTCCTATGCCGACCTGAAATACAGACAGTCCCTTCCGCCCCACGTTTTCGCTGTGGCCGACAAAGCTTATAGCTCTATGAGAAGAACAGGCATCAAACAATGCAGTGTTATCAGCGGCGAGAGTGGGGCGGGGAAAACGGAGACGGCCAAATACGTCATCGGGCACATCATTAGCCACTGTAATAGCAAGAAGAGCAACTTGCAGGAAAAGATTCTCCAGGTAAGTGAATGCTTTGTGGACTATCACTTTGTTTGACTATCAAGTTTCACACCGGGAGAGTTCATATTTAATGCCTCTGCATTCCATGTCATCAAAATGGAAAGTTAAGACGAAATATTGAAAATGGCCTAAATTGAGGGGATTGTATATGTTCAATATTTCATCGAATTGTGTTTTGCTCCACCCCTTTTAAAATTACGATTACCTAGTGAGAGTTTTTGTGATGAACGTGGCATGTCATCTAGCCAACCTTGGTTGATATTTGTATTATTCACAGTGATAGAAACTGGAAAAGTATTCCGTTTTTCATATTCAATATCAATCTCCTATTTCTTCTTATAAATCCAAGAAAAGTTCAATCCAAGTTGGTCACGAAGCGCTTTGTTGTAGGGTCGATAAAAGTCCTGAAGCTTTCTCAAGACATCCTCAGATACTTTGGGGTGAGGGCGTCCTTTCGATGGGATCATACATCCGAAATCGGGTCTTTCCGGCACTTGCGCACAGAAGAACCCCTTTGTTTTGGACTTTACAAAGTGTGATCGTTTATAGAACTTTGGTAATCCAAGGAATTCTTCTACTTTCGACATAGTTGGGTAAGGGTCTTTCGCAAAGGCATCACCGTCAATGAACATGAATTGGTCTCTCTCATATAAATTCAGTAATTTTTGTATGTGAATGATATACAGCCCTAGCCATGTGAACTTTGATACAACAATATCACCGCCAGGTTCCAGTATTGTCTTTTCGAACGTTTCCTGGATCCTGACGTTCTTGTAGATCATGTCAAAGGGTCGATCTTTGGGAGCGTTGGAATGTGCTACGTAGTGGAGGTACTCTGAGATTGCCCTATCAACAGGATCCCGTAAGATGACAAAAAACTTGACACTGGACGATAGGTACGATTGGAAGACCAAGGTCAAATGAGAATGAAAGAAACCGGGACTTTCTGTCATGGTTAGTTGGAACGGACTACTGAAACGCATAAGTTGGATCCATTTAGTGATAGAACTAGCATTGACTTGTTTTCCAGGGAACGGCATCTCCCTAGTTATGGAGATGACTGGATGAAGACCGAGGAACCTACTGAGGGTACCTGTACCACCTTTCTTAACGCCTATGACTATGGCTACTGGCATTCTCTTTTGGCACTGTCTCTTCTCTAGCAAGCTCCCGGGAATCGGTGACTGCTTCCCGTCGTAGGTGTAGCAATTGTCAACTTTTTTAGTCCACTTTGGATCAGTCGAATTGATACGACCAAGGATCGTTTCGATGCTGTCCCCTGTTTCGAAACCATTATGTTCACTTTGTAAATGCGGAGAACATGTTTGTCTGGCGGCATCTTTTCTTTCTACCTCGGTTATTTTGTTCCATTTTAATCCTTGCGCCGGGTTCTGTCCTTGCGTCCTCTCTGATTGTGGCTGTCTGTATATTCTGAGGAGAGCAGGGTAAATTGTAGAAATCATGCCCCCGCCGAACGTAACAAGCGTAATCGCAATTGAAACTGAAAGACACGCTATCAACACCTTACACCTCATCATGGCAGACCTACACCGAAATGGTACCACATATGACTGTGATGTAAATCTGTCGCTGTTCTCACGGCCTTCACTATATTATTTTCCACGTGTTTAGACAGGATAGGTGCTGATTGCTCCGCGTAATGCTAAGTGAGGAGCGGTTTGTTTGTCGACATAAAAAGACAAACAATAATTGTACTCTTCAAGTCCAAATACTTAGGGCAGATGGCGTGATTTTCCGTTCAGTGAAAAGATGAGCGTGTGACGTGCCGAAATTGAAATTTAGAGTTGATTTGTCTTCCGTTGATGCACCTTTTTAACGTGAATTATACTATCCGTTCCTGGGATTTATGTCTTCAATTGGATATTTACGAATTTTTAATATTGCAAATATGATGTCCTCGAGATCTAAACAGAGAAAAAAAATGGTCAAAGCATGACCCAGCAGCTGAATATCCACCTACCGACACGACGAGGTCTCTCAAGCCTGCATGAGGAGACCTCAGAAGATTCTGCTGCTCAACAGACCACAACTGCCTTTTCATATGCAAATTTACAATCTCAGCAACTAAGTCTAACATAAAAGATCGCATCATGGATCAGGTAGTGAAAGCGTTTCGCTCAAAGGCAGTTGTTAAGGAGATTGTTGACGCTGTTTACACTGCCGTGTACGACCAAATCGCAAAAGGGCTGCATGATTCATTTCAGTTTGAGCTTCAGAAAAGTGAGAAAAAGATAAGCGATTTGTCTTCCATCACTGGTGTCATGCGAAAACAGATCTTGAAGCTTGAATACATACAATATTCGTAATAAAATAAATTATATGATTCGATCTTCAAAGAGAAATTATTATTTTGATAAATTTAATGCTGTAAAATCTGATCTAAAGAAACATGGAATCTTATCAACTCTATTCTTGGGAAGCAAAAAAACTGTAACACCTAAAAATCTTATCCATAACGATGAAATTATAGATGAACCAGCAGTAATTGCTAATATTTTCAATAACCATTTTTCAATTGTAGGTTGTAATGTCTTAAAGTCTATTCCTGATTCGTGCAATAACTTTTCTGATTTTTTTACGGGGCAATTTTAGTCAACGTATTTATATCGAACCTGTCACTAAATGAGAGGTTATTGAAATAGTTAAGAAAATGTCTAATAGCAAAAGTTTTGGGTACGATGGTGTAAACGCAGTACTTCTTAAATCAGTTATCAAATATATTGTTTTACCATTAACACACAAACCACGGGATTTCCCCTTGTAAGAGTTATACCTACATTTTAAAAAGGTGACACAAATTACTTTAATAAATATAGACCGATTTCAATCTTACCTTAGTTTTCTAAAATTCTCGAAAGAGTGATGTTTAATAGATTGTTTGGGTTTTTAATTCATAATAACATAATTTTTTGCAATCAGTGTGGTGTTTGTAAAAATTGCTCCACAGATTTTGTGTTCTTAGATGTATATGATAAAATCTTTAAATATGTGGATGCCAATAAACGATTAAGTTATGCTTTTATTGAAAGATATTTTGTTTGACTGTCAACCAATCATCTTAATCCATCTAAAGCCTCATGTTTGTATTGTACACCAGTAGGTGTCCGGATACGATTTTAACCAGTTTCCTTACATTGTAGCTCAGCGTCGTGAATATATTAGTATAAATGACGATTGGAAGAAGTAAAATAGTTATTTAGTGAATGAAATATCAGCTTAATGAAATTTGTTCTTAATTTGTTCATTCTTGTTTATTTCATAACATCTTTCTTTCTTGGTTTCTTTATCATTCACAAGTCATGCCCATTATTGAATCCATTTAATAAACAATCTCTTCAGAGTTTCACATCAATATCTGTTCTTACCTCTATAGCCTTTTTTGTCTCTATTATATACATTTTGTTTCTTGCCGACGTTTTTTTTGGTACCATTCTTCTTCCATCTTTTGATCTTTTGACTCCTCCTCTGCTCTTCAAGTTTTTGTGAGTGTGTCTTGCTTCTCTCATTAAAATCTTTACCTCTCTCTTTGACACTCTTTCTGTCTGCGGTATTTGTTGATATTTTATCGTATGTCAAGTATCATCTCTTGTCTCTATCTTTAGCTGTGTCTACACTTACCTCTCCATCATGTTAAATTTATGTAATTCCTGTTTTCAACAAGGGCGTGAATTATGGATAGATGTAATTTGACCTTCTAACACATGATTTTTTTCGTCATTAGCCATTACTACTACTAATGCTAAGTTCACCTATTATTTCTACTATACTCCTTCTACTACTACTACTACTACTACTACTACTACTACTACTACTCTACTTCTACAATAATTACCCTCTTCGTTTCCATCTTTCAGGTGAATCCATTGCTTGAAGCCTTCGGCAATGCTCGAACTGTGATGAACGACAACTCGAGCCGATTCGGCAAATTCCTTCAACTTCAGTTCACAGAAGACTGCCAAATAGTAGGAGGTATATTGCAGTGTTTTCTTTTTTAAAGAATGAAAACAAAATCAAACTCAATGTTATACACATTATGTATAAATAACATCAAATCGATTTAAGTCAAATGGAATGTATACATTTATCTTTAACAACAAATGATTTTGGTACGTGCCCTTTTAATTCTATATTTTTACGAAACAAAATGAAGCAAAACTTTTGATTCAAGAGCTTATCGTCTAAATTCTTTGTCATTGAATTGAATTGAATTGACTTGAATTGAATTGAATTGAATTTCTTTATTGTCATGCACAAAATAAAATGAAGGCATAAAAATCGTTTTACAGCTCACATTTGTATAAATATAACAATACATTAACATATCATAGACAGTAACTACAAATAACATAAATAACATAACAATGTAATGTAATTTAACCTTTCTGTTGAGAGCCAGAGGAATTATTTGATTATTTGTACTCCCCTGGCTCCCAACAGACAATATTAACTTAAATAAATAGCAGAAAATGTACATGACAACAATCAATGTCATATAACATATAAATATATCAAGTCACAGCAAAGATCTAAAAATCCATTATGCATCAATTGTTAAAAATTTCAGATAAAAACTGTTTATTTTGAGTAGCAGACATAAACTAAAAGTACATCATACTGGATGGCAAAGAGGAAAGACAAGAGAGAGAACGAGAGAGTGAGAAAGGAAGTGAGAAAGGGAGAGAGAAAGGGAAAGGGAAAGAGAGAGAGAGAGTAGAAGAGAGGAACGGTTCAGTGTGAGATGATGCATATACAGTTTCATTCAAAACATTGCTTTGTAATAGACATTATTTATATTGCACCTGTGCTTAGTACTGTTACATTTATGAAACACTGCTATGCATGCCAACAAATACAAATACAACTGTATGCTAGTACATGTACAGTACATATAGATGGTAGATACACTGTACAGTTGAAAGAAGAAAATTGATGCCAGATAGAAGAGGCTAGAAGAGAGACAAGAAGGAAAGAAGAAGAAGAAGAAAGAAAAGTGGACAAAAGGAAAGAGAGGGAAGAAAGCAAAAGGAGGAAAAGTGAAGTGTGAGATATTGAAAATATTGTTGAAATAAATTGAACTGAATTGATGAGTCCACATGTCACTTACACACTACCAACCACCCAACCATAACAGCAGGGAAGACCCCCTCCCCCTTGACCTTATACAAGCTGACCCATCTTTCCAGGATATGAAGAGAGAGAGAGAGAGAGAGAGAGAGAGACAGGCAGACAGAAAGAGAGAGAGAGAGGGAGAGATATATGTAGGATAGAGAGAGAGAGAGAGAGAGCAGAAGGCAGAGGAGAGAGAGAGGGAGAGATAGAATGAGAGGGTAGGGGATCGTACTCGGGGGTTTACAGGGTCATTCATCTACAGAAATTGTTGTTAAATACTTTCATTGCACTTTGGAGAAAGGACCTGCCGAACCTATCAGTTCTTATTCTTGGTAACCTAATTCTTCCTGATCTATTGAAAACCACTTCATTATGCAGAGGGTGATTAGAATCCTTCACAATCACTTGCAGCTTAGCCAATAATGCCCTTTCTGCAACATCTTCCAGCTCTTTCACAGAGACCCCAATTACTCTGCTGGCATGTTTCACTATCCTATTCAACTTTGCTCTGTTTTTCCCACTAAGGCTGTTAAACCAGGCTAGACAGCAGAAACATATGACTGACTGTATGACACATTGGTAGAACAGGAACATTGTATCACTTTTCACATGTAATGCTTTCATCTTTCTTAGAAAATACATACGCTGGTTGCCCTTGCTTAGTATTACCTTGGTATTACTATCCCACTTTAGTTTGTTATCAATTACAACTCCTAAGTATTTGCATTCAGCCACCTGTTGAATGGCTTTCCCATCAATGTACAGGGGCACGTTATTTGTGCCACCATTTTTCCTGTAGTCAAAGATCATTTCATGAGTTTTTGTGGCATTTAGAACAAGTGAATTATCTTCGCTCCAACAAACAAACTTATCAACTGTATCCCTATATGCAACTTCATCGTTGTTGGTGATCAAGCCAATGATACAAGTATCATCTGCATACAATTGAACAGTGAACGTACATTATACCATGCTATTAATAGCTTGTTTTTTCCTCTTAGATTTGAGCACATTAATAAGATTGAGTATAATATTTTATAAATAGACTGAAATGCCACAACTCGTAAATAATAACACATACTTATAGGGAAATTTCTAAGTTTGGGGCAATTATTTATGTTTAAACATGAACTTACATTTTACCAATTTTGACACAAATTTATGTTGGGTGCTTCGCGATGAAATTGTGATATTTTGACCATTGTCCTACATTCTAGCCAAAATTGACACGTACTTACTGGAGAAGTCTCGTGTGGTATCGCAAGGAGAGGGAGAAAGAAACTTCCATGTCTTCTACTATCTGTTTGCTGGATTGACGGAACAGCAGCTCTTGAGTATACTGCTCTCACCTCCTGAAAAACACAGGTATGTCAGACCTAGGTGCTAACTTTCAGATGGGTGTTGCCGCGAAAACTGAATGTTAGAGATTGAAGTTTGTCGTACATTTTCCGACTCGGGACAAGTTGTTCCAAATTACAGTTGTACCGTTTTTTCCCCAAGTTGTAAATCACCTATTAGAGGCAATCTATTCTGAAGACAAAACGATCAAAACGTCGAGAACCGACACAACTCGTTATAAGAAGACTACAGCGCTGTATGGCAGCTAGGCTAAAGCCAGGGTAGCGACACTATACTTTATATGCACCTTGAACATCCTCTGGGATGTAATAATAAATAAAATAATAACGTTTTATTTACCCAGGGTAGCCACTTCAGTTATGAAACTGCTCTTCCAGCGGGCCCTGCATAACATAATATGTTATTACTACCCTTCTCCAATCTAATATGCTGAGCGCCTACCTAGAAGGCAGAACGTCCCATTGTTATATGTCTTTGGTATGACTCGGCCGGGGTTCGAACCCATGACCTCCCGTTCATGAGGCGGGCGCTCTAACCACTGAGCCCCCATACCCGGTATGTAGCTATTGATATTATCATTGTGAAAAAAACTGTGACCTAACGAGCTCTTCTTTTTGCGAAACAGGACACTTACTGGGAGAGGAGAGAAAAACATCTACACCAGCGAAGACGAGTTCCTGCATTGCCAAAAGAACTTCGATGAACTCCAGGATATCATGGAGCTGGTTGGCTTCACTCAAGAGGACATCTGGATGATCTACCGTCTCCTCTCAGCCGTCATTCAGATCCCCGACATCGAATTCGATGTTGATGACGAGACGGGGGGTTCCTATATTGTCGATGAATATGTCCTGAAAGTTGGTAAGACCTACGAAAAATCATTTTGGTTTACATTTGGTTTACATTATACAAAAATACTATTTTTGGTTTTACTACAACAGTACAGAAGACATAAATACATTAACAATGCTGTTGGAAAATATAATGGGTAAATAATCGCATGCTGGATTGATAGACGAGGCGAAAAAAGAAAAGAAAGAATGAACGACCTTATGAATAAAATGGTTAATATCACATGATAAAAGAATGACCGGATGACTGACAGACTGAATGATTGAACGAATAGATGAATGAATTAATAATTGACTGGTGGACAGAATGAATAAATGAACTAATGAATGAATGAATAAAGAAGTGAATGAATGATCTAGCTATTTGTTCTTCTAAGTTATTAATTCAGTTTCTTTCGTCGTTATTTTACTCGATCTGGATCTCTTTTCTATTTAACAGTCGCCACGCTCCTCGGTCTAGATCCGTCAGCCCTGGCTACAGCTCTCATCTCAAATATAGTCGAAGCAAGGGGTGAGTGTACTCTCCAATATTTCCTCCTAATGAATATAATATCATGATTTAATATCTCAGTAGATCAGAGCGAGAAGAGAGTTTTATCTTATCATTAAACACAGGATTAACAGTCCTTCTGGCACTCAACGGATTTGCATCAAGATTTTATTGAGCAAATAAAATGATGTGATACAGGGCAATATAACGCAACTGGATTCCCAATTCATTATCGAAAGATATATTGACCTGTTTGTCTTTTTCAAATGCCGTATGTTTCTAACATTTCCACATGTTATGTGATTATAATGATTATGCATGTCTATATCTATTGTTATATATTCTGTCCATACATATATAAGAATAGAGGCCGACTATTAAAACTGTATTTTCCTCTTTCTGTACTGATATATCTGAAATTGGTGCGACTTATTTTCTTTTTACAAAGTAAGATGTAAAGGGCACCAGAGGGCAATAGCCCCACAAAGTGATATGCTCTCCTATGTATGCTTTCGACCACTCCCCTCTTCATGAAATGGATAAGAATGAGATTATTTCTATTAGCTAGTCTATAAGACAAAATGTAACTTCTATGTTAATTTGCTTTCATCGTCCTCGTCCTACCCAGGCGAACAGATCGTGACTCTGAAGAACGTCGGGCAGGCGAACGATGGCCGGGATGCCCTAGCTAAGGCTCTGTACAGTAAGCTCTTCAATTGGATCGTCAACCAAATCAACTCCCTCATCGCTCCCGATGATGATTGCCCGTGAGTAATATGATATGATTTGATTTGATTCTTCTATTTATAAAGATACAACTTTTGCAACCACATCTACATATTAAAGAGAAACATTGATAGATACGAGAGGAAAAGAAACCGCTTAAATTGATTGCTGGACGTTCTTAGAACGAGGACAGACGGGCAGTGAAAAGGCCGTAGACATTCGTGTATGATGGAATTTTATTTTAAATTGATATGGCCCGTGTTGCACCTAGTATCATAAAATGCTTCGAGACCACTGCCGGGACAATTTCTATTAAAAATGAAATTGTTTCTAACGACAAAATGGTTTCGTTTTTATTTTCGAGTCGGTGCTCGGGGGTTGGGAGTATTGTCTGTGTTCCAAGACAGTTGTTGAAGATGAAATGTCATTATAGTCTTTGACTTTGAAAAAAAGTACCTGAAATGAATTGTCGGACAACATGGTCAGAAAGAACGAAACAACATAGGAATATAGCTTTATTTTCTCCATCTTAATGTTTCAAGTTAGTCTCTAGTTCTGAGGTATTTTGTCTTCTCATCCCAACATAATCACATTATGGGATGAGAAGACAAAACATTTTCACATGATGACGGTATCTTCACAGGGGAACGAAAGGCTACGAGATCGGCATCCTAGACATCTACGGCTTTGAGAACTTTGGGAAGAACAGCTTCGAGCAGCTGTGCATCAACCTTACCAACGAACAACTTCAGTACTACTTCAACCAACGGATCTTTGCCTGGGAGTTGGCCGAGTACGCCGGGGAGGGTATCCCCAAGCACTCGGTCAAGTACCAAGACAACATGCCGGTTCTGGACCTCTTTTTGGCGGTAAGGATTGGACCGAGGTTTTCAAGATGAGTTGTGGGATAATATAAATTGACTTGCTATCACTATATACGAAATAGCAAACAAGAATGAAGTGTGACAAGAATGAGAAGGGAAACAAAAGAAGGAAACGTGAATGGATGGTAGAGGAGACTTTTAAAATCATTTGTTTGCCACATAATATTGTAAATCAATTTGATCTGCTCGATTCGAAGTGGGAATTGATGTTAGAGGAAATGTAGCAAAAGTCGAAAACAGTAAATCTTACACCGACAATGAAAAATGATTTATAAGATGGTGAACGATTAATAAGTTAAAATATGAATAACAGACTTAGATCTACATTCTTGTTATTCTTCAAGCTCCAGAAATATGACTAGGTTCGTTTTGAGTCTTCTCTTTGTTAAATCACATATTTCCCTCTATTTCTAGAAGCCGCTTGGTCTCCTATCACTCCTGGACGAGGAGGCTAGGTTCCCCAAGGGCACTGACGTCACCCTAGTGGGCAAGTTTTCGACCAATCACAGCAAGAATAGCAACTTCTTGATGCAGAAGAAGAACAAGGGTAACACGACTATCTTCGGGGTCAAGCATTACGCATCAGAGGTAGGATTGTTTCTCATACAATTATCTATTTATTTGTCCACACCTTGAAAACAATTGGGCAGAATAATTGTTCATTATCTACTAATAAAGGATGGAGAGGGACAAGCGTGTTTGTTGGGTAAAACTGAACACCATATTGAGTGACACTTCACACACACACCCACACACACACACACACACACACACACACATGTAAACGCCTTCAATCGGGGAGGTAGGCAAAACACCATGAAACTGTGGAGGTAATAAATATAGGCTTTATAAGCAATATTTTATCAAATTTGAGGAAAGAAAATCACAATAAGCCCATTCAAATGTCAAAAGATACTAAAAAACGTTTACTTCTTCTTACACATGATTCGTCTGAATTTGAGCTATGAAAGTGCGGTGTCTGCATCTAGTCATTGTCAATCGGGGAAGTAGGCATAAGACCTAGCAAACGTGGAGTTTGTCGATTTTTATCTTTTCCTTGTAAACTTCGAACTAACTCATGCAAAAAAGGATATTATTATGTTTGCTTGTATTTAAAACAATGAAGGCAATACTGTCTTTCAAATCTTAATTTCCACAATATAATATCAATCTTAGAAACAAGAGTTATGGTCAACAGTTGACCATTGTGTATCATGTAAAAAGTCTTGATAAATATGATCTTGATTTACTGTATGGAAGCCAGTGGCGGATCCAGCCGGCGGGAAGAGGGGGGGGGGGGCCCAATCCGTGAGAAAATATTAGTTGCGACTCAGCCGTCGGTGAATAAGCGGGGGGGGGGGGGGGGGGGTAGGAAGCATTTTTTGGGGGTGCAATTTTTCAGGAAATATTTTGCGCCGACTTAGTCAGCCGGTGAATATGAGACCACTATTTTTTGTGTGTGACCTAATTCGTGAGATTTTGTTGTTGTTGACCCGTCACCCCCCCCCCCCCGTGGATCCACGCCTGCAGAGGATCCAGCCGGCGCCAATGGGGGGGGGGGGGGTAGCCAAATCTTAATACAAAATTTAGTGCCGTCTCAGCCGGCCGGCGAATAAGCGGGGGGGGGGGGGATGGGGCGCTTTTGTTTTTTGTTTTATAAAGGTTAACTTTACGTTATTATCCTATTTTTTTTAATCGTTTTGGGGGGCTGGGGGGGGGGGGCCGGGCCGGAAAAATCGCTACGTGGATCCGCCCCTGATGGAAGCCATTACAAATGTAATCCTAGGAATCCCAACATCAGTTCCACTTACTCAGGTTCAATAAAAATGTTGGCTTAGCTTTTATCAGTGTCAAGAGATCAAGGTAATTTAAAGGGATTGCCCATGAACTGTCACACTATATTGTGTGGCTCAGAAAGAAAGAAAACCGGATATTTCCAATTACAATGACATAATGACTCAAAGTTGATGATCTTTACATCATTTTTTATCATTTCGAAAAAGAATGATCTTCTTAATGAAGTAAGAATTAGGTCAATGATGAAGTTGTAATTGTAGATCGCAGGTGTTCCGTTCTTTCTAGCCCCCCCCCCCCCCATGTATATAAAAACCATTATTCTATCATAAGGATATTTATATTTCTTTATTTTTGTTTTCGGGGGGAGGGGGAAGATTTCGGCAATTCAAGGAAAGAATACAATTCATATTTGTAAATGTTTTTAAATTAATCGTTATCACTAGTGGTATAGAGTTTGGATTAATATCATTGCTTCTTGGTATGAGATTCCTTTTTGTTCTCTTACTATCATCAAAATATGTTTGTAACATTTATTCTTTTCTTATACATGTTTGCATTTTGACGTATCGACTTGTGAAAATGCTATGTTTTGTGAATAACGTTTATGTCTTTTGAAGAAAGAAGACACATATACAAAATAAAGATTGAGCTTGTTTGTACTATATTGCGTACTGATATGTCTTCATTATTTTAACTGTAAGGAATCACTATATCGCAAATGATGTTACAGTGCTTGCACACGTTGAAATTATTAATAGATAAGCTGGGAAAGATATAATGAAGGAAATTAACTTTAATAATTCCACTGTACGTACCAACGGAACTTAATGACACCACCACACAAAAAGTTTGCAAAACTTTCTCCTGTGCTCCTCTCTTTCTCTCTCTCTAACTATATCTTCATTCAATTTAAGGACGAAACTGTCATCTTTTTCAACATGTTTTAACAATTCCTCGATCAATGTGGTATCAAACCACTTTCCCTGAATATTTTCTTTCCTTTCATCCTCGAATTCTATTAAATTCTTTAACACACCTCCTGCAAACATATACATACTTGCCACTATAAAATTGGATATAATTACAGTTTTAAAACTATGCAGTATTATCTAGCAAATCATTTTCTTTCTTAATTTTAAAATATGACTTATGTTAAAGAGGGAAAACAAAAATCACAAAATTATCATGTTATTTCTATAAATATCTCATACACCAGCAGGTGTATTGTACTACAGAGGAAAAAGACGAGATAGAATCAAATAAATGCCAATTGTAATAAACAATAGTTTATCTTCTTTGAATTTCTGTAAAATATACTTTATTTCGATACAATTATTTGACAGTCTTCAAAGGCACATGCAAATCATGAAATTTACAAGAGACAAGTTAAACACGTCCAGCGATGATATGCAATTAGGAGTTAAGTCCGAACGTGTACATAAAAAGGGCATTAGTACCAATCAATACAATTGAACCACAGGCATTGCACCACATTTGCAAAAATCTACAGATTAAACATGCATGTAGTAGAAAAATGTCTTATAATTGGGATTACGAATAAAGAATTATTTCTAACATCACCTGGGTAAAAGAATGGTGCAATATTGTGAAGTTGACATTGCCACAGAAAATGAGGTTAGAATACAAACGAAGGCAAAATAGATGATATTGATATCATTTACTTGAAGAATTGATCAACTCAGCCTACGCATATTTCATGATTTCTTTGAGGTCTTGTTAAAATAACAGATCATATTACTGTTCATTCTTGGCCGGCCATCCTTAATTTATACACATGTATAGTATATTTGTGTGTTTGGAATGATATGAAAGGTTGAGGCATAAAATGAATTCTGCCACTTAAATAAATGGGGTTTACTACCGCAAAATCCCCAGGGATTCTAAAAAAAATCTAGAATTCTAAAACCTAAAAACAAAACCCACCTCAAACCATAACAAGAAATTAAGCAACCAATTAATGAAAACAAAAGATAACATCTGTAACAACTTTGAACAACATAACTCATAACTAGAAATGAAGAAAAAAAGAGCCCACTGCTGTAAACACACAGCAAGAAAGCCAAAAGCCCTCTCTTGGATCCAGGCAAACAAAGTCTCCTTGAATATTAAACAAAAAAAATAATTAAATGTTATTTAGCAATACTCCCATCAGCCATAATTGAACGCTTTACAAAAAATGATGCTTTACACACATACCAAACACGACAGGCAACACGTACAAACTATCATCCTCCCTAACCAGGGCAGTTTTCGCCATAAAAACTATTTCATACACAGGACCAAACTACTGAAGCACCATTGATCCGAATCTCAAATAGCTTAAGAACTGTTGCAGCTTTAAAAAACATATCAAATTGTTAGTATTAAATTTGTACATGTAATGCACAAGTATACTATTTTTTTCTGGACTGTGACTCCCGACCTTGAATATTCTATTCTAAAAACTTCCTTTTCTCTCTCCTCATTCTTCTCCTGACCCCCATGCTTTACCTTCCCTTCCTAGTTCTCTTCTTTCTTACATCCATCATCCATATCATTTCATTGTTTTATCTGTATACTCTGATTTTGTATCATCATACTTCTACCTTATAATGAATGACACTGTGTCAACATTATTTTGAGGAACTTAAATTCTACAAGCTATATGCTTTTGATTAAGTTCCTTTTTTCACATGTAATTTCGAAATTATTTAGTGTGAAATAAATGAAACTAAACTGAAACTGAAGGTCAAGAGTCACTACTGCTCTCTAAGAAAATAGCAGCCCCTAGGTAGAGTACTAGCACACCACACAGTTTGCTAGAAAGTCCTGATTTATATACCATTGTATTTTCTTTTGTTGTAAAATCATGTGATACATATAAATATGAATGCGTTAGTATTTGAGGGATAATTCCCTTTTCAGTCTGACAAAATTAATAATATCCATTTTTCCAAGTTTCTCAAATATTATATATGAATATTTGTCAGTGGTAACAATAGTACATTCCAAAGATACCATTTAACATGATGGAGTTTGATTTGGGGGCAAAATGGATGTAAAAGATTCCAGATATTAGTTTGATGAACATAATTACGTAGAGTTTAACAGTACCTAAGGTTAAAAAAGCTACACAGCATATCTGTTTTTTACATTCCTATCATAGCATCATCATTAGTTGTGTGCTATACATTTAACACATATCTGACGCAATACAAATTTGTTGGAGAAGCCAACTTTTGAACAATGATGAAGAATGAAGGAGAACTCACTGACATCACAAATCCCCCCCCCCCAAAAAAAAGGGACCAGGGATGAAATTGAATCAGCAAGAAGTAAGGTGAATCATATTAATATTGTAGGTTTATATGATTATACTGGAACCAACCCTTTATTATAGCCCTTTTTATTTGTTTTGTTGCAAAGGTATTACAAAAAAAAAAGGTTTTGGGTCCCCGACCCCCATCACAACTACAAAAAGATTCCAGATATTAGTTTGATGAACATAATTACGTAGAGTTTAACAGTACCTAAGGTTAAAAAAAGCTACACAGCATATCTGTTTTTTACATTCCTATCATAGCATCATCATTAGTTGTGTGCTATACATTTAACACATATCTGACGCAATACAAATTTGTTGGAGAAGCCAACTTTTGAACAATGATGAAGAATGAAGGAGAACTCACTGACATCACAAATCCCCCCCCCCCCAAAAAAAAGGGACCAGGGATGAAATTGAATCAGCAAGAAGTAAGGTGAATCATATTAATATTGTAGGTTTATATGAT